ATATTTTAACCTCCGTTTACGGTACGCAGTAAGGACACACCGCGGGAAATCCCGTAAATCTGCTGTACCCGCGTTCGGAATTCCGCGGGTTAAACCCGTGAATATACGGCATTGATCGCGAGTCCGCCTTACTGCTGCTCAATGGCAAAAGGAGGAGCGGTTTCTGATTTAAGGGATACTTACCTCAGGTCCTTTTAGTTCTGGTCGTGCTTACGTCCAAATGCGGAAGTCTTCCTTTTACTGGCTGTGCCTTGCGTGCGACGTACTTTAACGGCAGGAGGTTTCCGGTCAATGCGGAAGTGATTGCGTGACGAATGTAAGTATACGTAACTGCTGGTTTTAGTTACCTTTTCCTTTTACTTGCTGTACCTTGCGTCCAAGGTACGCTAACGGAGTATTCCGATCAATGCCGATTGCGGAAGCAATTGCGTGACGGTAGTGCGTGACGAACGTGAGTTACCATCATCATGTGACAAAGGGTCGTGTGAATGGAAAATAAAATGTAGGCTCTATTTTTCATGATTTTCAGTTCTATGATTAATCAAGGAAATAAAGTTATATCACGATGAAAGGATGGGATTATTAGGAACAAGAGGACGCTAAAATAAGAATTGACATATAAGCCCTGCTAGTATATTCTACTATAAATCGATGACCCTGTAGAAAAGGAATTCCCTTTAGGTAGTAACGAAATTCTCTGTCATGTCCATGTGAAAATAATTCATTTATTAATTTTTACTCTGAATAAAAAGGATAAATACACAAAAATAGTAGATTACTGTGCCAAACCAACTCCAAGAGTCGCGGCGTGTGTTGAAGTCGAACCAACGTTATGCTCTTCTTTTAGTGCTGACAAAGTGAAAAATAAACTTCCCGTGTTTCTCAGCAAAATTTCCTGTTTATTCTTGTCATTCCCGTCTATGTGCAGACTTGAGTTTTGTAATTCCAGTTCGGGATCTCTCAGCAATATCCGTGACGTCACTTCCGGATCAACAAGGAAGTTGCTGCGTTCCTGTGTTTCTCAGACTTAATACATACGTAATCTGTTGGATTAAATCTAAATTCTTCTATATATAAGACCATGATTGAGCTACGACTCTCAGTGCAACAGATTCAGAAACCTTCCAGATACTACAGCTGAGGAAAAATTGATAATCGTCAAGAAAATTGTTTGACAAAATGCAAGCTGGAAACTCATTTTTCAACTTCAACGCCCCCATAATTGTCCTTAAAAGTCTTTTTCAAAAATACGATAAAAATGGAAGTGGATTTTTGGAGGAGAAAGAAATACGGTGTTTGCTTGAGAGCGACCTTGGCCTTAACGCGAGCCAGAGCGAGATTTATACGTTACTTCTCGACAAGAACGGAGACCATAGCGTCAGCTTCGAGGACTTTGTCAACTGGTTACGAAGCGAGGAAAGATTTCAGAACATTGACAATTCATCAAGATACGCTATTCTTAGCCAAGCCTTGGATTATTTTAAGAGTTTCGACGTGGATGATAATGATAGCCTGAGCCTGGACGAGTTTAAGAAGGTAATGAGCTCTCTCGGGTGTATGGATGAAAAAAGCACAAGTGAGACCTTCAAGGCGATCGATACACACGGGAATGGAATCATTTCGTTCTGGGAATTTATGAAATGGTTAAACTGGGTTTCTCTTTAGAGCAAAAAACTATGAAAATGATAAAAATTGGAATGACACTAAACTGAATATAGAGAAACTCTTATTACCGTAGGACGTCACGTACGCGTACGTCACCACTCATCCAACCACGGAATAATGTAGCGCATGACCCGTCACGGTCACAGCTCTTAGTTGATGAAACACTGACGTCACTAAATCTTCTAAAACACTACGCAATCATACACGGCTTCAATGACAAGGGGGAATGGCTTGTAAATCATAAAATGAACAAATATTTATTAATACTATTGCATTTATTAATCAATTAACAGAAATAAAATACCCCGTACTTCGTTAGCCTATGCTTTATTTCAATTTTTGGTCATGCATATGCAAACTAAGGGTAGAAACGGCTGATTCAACAGGAATAAAAGTGTTATTTTCGAGATATTAAACAATTTTCATTTGCATTAAACCAGGGACGAGATTTATGATGTCACGTCATGCGCACTAGAAAATATTTAGTATTGAATTAATCAGTTTCTTGATCAAACTAGACGCAAAAATTTGCACTTCCTAGGGTATAAACGTGTAGTGAAGTGAATGGAAAAGATGCAATCAGCTTTATATTTTTCCACAGGAAGCCCAGGGAAACAAAATGCATCCCACATGGAAGGAAGTGACGAGGGATGCTTACGCATCGGCGACAAACACATTTAACCGGGTCTGCTAATCATAGCAAGGGATTAATCATCTACGGTCTAGGAGCCGACTAACCTCTCCCTTAGGCTTTTGCCGAGCTTCCTGATCAGTCAGTAATTCCTCCCGGGATAGCTGTGTTGGGGCTGAAATGTCCAGCGTAGCCGTAAGTCCATACGACGGTTCAGCAATCGATGTCTGGAAGTATGGTCCTGGTTAATTGATTAATCAATCAATATAACTTAAATTATAGTCTTATTCTTTCTTATCTAAATCAAACACATGGTTCCCATCAATAAATATACTCAGTGCTAGGATAAAAGACATGCTGAATGACATGACAATGGTTCTCATGGCGTCGTACAGAAGCTTTGGAGAGAAGACACTCCATACAAATAGGTGATACCGCTGACCATACACCAGTATACTGTAGACACACAGCAGCAGGCAGTGAGGCAAGGTTAATGTCACACACACCCTGTGAAGACTGTCACACAACCTGGAAAAATGATTTGTTTTAGTTCAAAATATGTAACGCTATAGGCGCAAATTCCAATGCAGGTGGTCTTGCGCAAAAAAAAAAAAGAAAAAGAAAAAGAAAGAAAAGAAAGAAATCGTTGGAGGTAGAAAAAAACTGTTAGGTTATAGGCGCAAATTCTATTGCAGGTTGTCTTGCGAATAGTTCTACTTTTACCCGTAGCAAGAGTTGAAAGATAAAGGTTGTGCAAGCGTAAGTTACTCGAAGAAAAAGCTTGACCTGCAACTGTTTTTTGCAAAGCCAGTTGGAAGAAAATTCGTGTATCAGAGCTTCACGTTTGAAGTACGAACAACTACATCTTTGCGTCCTTCAAAAACAACCTCTGGGCTGATCAAAGTCAGGGCATGGCTAACGCGCAGATCGAACCCTGAAACAACCTCTGGTTAAGTCAGCTAACTTACTGCTTTCGTGACGTGGAGTTCTTGATAACAAGCTTGACAAGGGCCGTCAGCCATAACACAGGGCCACAGTACGTCACAATACTCATCAGCAGAAGGGCTACCGTTGAATCATGTCCCTGCATACCTATGTACCCAGCTGCAATATCTACAGTAGACAAGCTGTTGGAATTTCCCTGTGCAAAGTACGCTACTTGACCAAGCCAGAAGTATACGAGATGGGTTGTCCAGGAATGGGCTGAAATCCTGAAAGACGTGTGGATTTGTGCGGGCATTAGAAAATTGTTAGTCTGATTCATGGATCATGGATGTCATGCGTATATACAGATATTTGCGCTCTTTTTTGGCTCTTTTTAACTTTCTGCGTGCGACTAGACGACTCCAAATCAGAGGCACATTTATTTTGTGTTTTTTTTTTTTGGCTGCCGTCCATCAAAGATCTCTTTCCCTTGAGCATAATACTTTCCCAATTTAGACGTGTCATTCCCTAGAGTATCATTTCATTGTTTAACGGTCGGGTATGAGAAGGAAAATAAATATGGATACAACTCAACAAAAACGCTTATTCTCAGAAAATGACACGTGATTTGAAATGGGAAAACAGCACGCCCAAGATAAAGAAGTCTATCTATAATTGATAGAAGCCAAAAATCCAGACGTCTTGAAGTTGCCGAGGTTGCAGGAAAAGCAGCCCAAGATTTTCCGCTATCCTTTTTTTGCACAGAGCTTTAAGAAAATAATTTATCTATACTTACAAAATCAGCTATATCAGTTGCACACTTACCCAGAGAAAAAATGTCTTTCCAAACTCCATTCCTGTAAAACAAATACAGCCAGTAAAACAATGTTGTGAGTTCTGAGGAGCAACGCTTCCACGACCAGAAGACCCATGAAGAATGCCTGAGCAGCTTGCTCAAGGAATGACTTGTATTCCGAAAACTTTCTCTGCAAAGCAGACATCTTTGCGTATTGATATCCTTGCATCAACTTGACAAAGGAGATAAAGAGCAAGGCGAATGAAGAGAGGTATGCCATCCTTGCTTCTGTTACTCCTAACGTGATTCGATGGCCCTTGCTCCATGGTGAAGTGACAATACCCGTAACAGCACGGTACTTATACACAAACATGAACCCAAACACTTGGATAACACTGTTTAACACTGAACTATTCTTGAAGCTGTAAAACACTATTACGCTTAATGATATAACGGTCACTAAGGAGAGAATCAATCGGTTATCAGGCACTACAAGCCAATCTCCAATATCAGGTTGGTCTGCCCACTTCATGCCAGTTTGATTCATCTTACGACAAACACGAATCAGGACGAGAAATAAAACAGGAAGGAAAAAGGAGCTAAATATGTCAACACCACTTTCTTCTGGAAGTTTCTTTGATTCTTCGCGCCCAAGGTTTTCTGTTGATTTTTCCTTGGACTGAAGATTACCGTGCGCTTCTTTATGCCCTTCAGAGATATTGTGGCTGTCTAAAGTAATATTTGAAGTATTTTCAAACAGGTCTTTGGAAATTTCATCACGATTTTTGGACATATAAAGATGATCTGTTCTTAGACCAGCCTTTTTCTTGTAACAAAGATACTTTATGAAAGCATTTGAAAACTTTAAAACAAAGTAAGTAGTTGCAAGGAAGTACCAAGTTTGGTGTTCCTCTTCTACAAAGCTACTGGACAATAGACTAATCACGTGTAAAATCGAACCAATCACAAGTAAACTTCTAGTTGGAGATGAGAACATGGTTCTGACGTCATTGACGACAAGATTCAGCAATGATGTTGCCATGGTGATGTTGGTGATTAATGTCGTCAAGGAGATACTGCTGAAGGTGATGAGAATGATAGAGAATACAATGGCCGATGGCTTGTAGGAGCACAGAATCTCGCTGTTACATGTTCCTGAAAAATGAAGGAAATTTAATGATATCAGGAAGTATTAGTCTTTCTCTTTTCTTGCCTTCTCCCATACCCCCCCCCCCCCCCCCCCCCCCCATCAATTGTACATGTATCATGTTCAACAAGGGTAAAAGGGAAAGGGTGGCGCGCGCTACTTATGTGCCTCTAGCTTCTCCTTATTGTGATCATGGGTTTAATCTTCAGACACGCTATTATATGTGAGTAGAGTTGTTTGTTGGCTCTCTACTGTACTTTAAGGGGCTTTCTCCGTCTTCTCTGGTTTCCCTCCCTCTAAAAAATCAATTTTTGAATTCTGATTCGATTTTGAAACGAGAGCCACAAGTTTGTTAACCACTGGCTATTAAGAGATATCCTCATTAAACAACAACGATATGCAAAATCCTTACGAAATAAAAGTGTAATTCAGAGTACAAGAAGATTTAACAATGTACTCACCAGCAACCAAGGCGCTAGAGCATAAAGTTATGTGAACACCAAGTAGGGCCATGAAGGTGGCACCCATGACTAGAAAGGTCGCTGATGAGGGCACAAAATCCTCCAAAGAACTTGTTGTTTTGATGAAAATCCTCCTTTGTGAGAACTCTCCGTATACGAGCCATGCGAGAACTTGAATAAGAATAATAATCCCAGAAGCCATGGCGTGTAAATCATAGCAAGAAAGTGATGCTGTGATCTGGCTACTCATTCTCTTTAGTGCTGCGTTATACTGCTTAGAAATCTGCTCTGCTTGAACCGCCATACTTCGTTTATCTTCGTTTCCTATTTCTATTGCTTCTAGCCATTGTTTATGCAAACGTCTCGATTCCTCAAGTTCCCATATAGAATTGGTTGAATGACCATTGGCTTTCATAACTTTGGAGAGCTGGTGTGAGGCGATTTGAAATGCTCGGAGCTTTTCTCTTGGATTGTGGAATACTAGGAGTTGAGATATAGGCGTCCCTACACTATGAAACAAAAAAGGGAAGTTAAGACAAATACAGCAGAATAACGTAAAATATAAGTTCCATACAAATTATTAGTCTGTCTGTCACGCTTTGTGCTTACCTATTTTGAGGGATAGGAAGACCAAGAAGAATGGACAAGGTAGACACAACGTCTATTTGATCCACATTGATGCTAGAAAATTGCTGCCCTGAAATTAAGAAATGTTTTCATTTTTAATTTGGTGTAATTTTTTTTTTGTAATTTATGACTGTATGACTGATTGTCTACCTACAGGTCTGCTTGCTTGTCTTTTGCTTTGTATGTCCATCTGTCTATCTGTCTGTCTGTCTGTCTGTCTGCCTGCCTGTCTGTCTGTCTGTCTGTCTGTCTGTCTGTCTGTCTGTCTGTCTGTCTGTCTGTCTGTCTGTCTGTCTGTCTGTATACTATCTGTCCACTTCACTACTCTTCTATCCATCTGTTACAAGCATCTGTTTTCAACCTGTGTGTTAACCAGCCAGTCTGGCTGTATTCATTTATTCATTCATTCATCCATTCATCTTCTACACCACCTTTTCAGTTCTGAAAACTTGTGCTCTGTCTGTCTACCCTTTCCCCTTGCCCACTCTGTAACAATTTGACAACATGATTGAAGTGATTCACTAAATATTCCCATTCATTACCTTTTCCGTTCTGCAGCATTGAGCTCATGAAGACCAGAGGAGTAGAGGTCTCAGGTAAGGAAGCTCCACCATGACTTCCTGCTTCACTCATCCCATGATCACCACACAACACCATGGCAGAATGGATCCCCCTTTCCTTGTCGTCTCTTAACAGGCTCTTGTGTATCTTCTGAATAATTTGATCCATCTCATGTAGCTTAGGGCCCACCAAGGGACTAGTGGGTCCTGCTAGGTGACCTATGTGATCTAGACCCAAGTAATGAAGGACCATGATGTCCCAGTCATTGCTTTGAAGTTCTTTATCAAGGTGCCTTGTCACATTGCTGTCTACCTTTGATGTGAAGATTTGATGAATTATCACACTGCCACTATTTATCAAGTCTTTAGCTAACAAATTATAGGGACTATCTAAGGATACAGACTTTTTACCCTGTTTAATTGACCTTTTCAGCGCTAGCCATTACGTAGTATAAATGGTGTTGCATTGTGTTACAGTTACCAAGAATTAAAGTTCAGACATAGCTCTCGCATTTCCTTACCAGTGTACAGACTTTTAAAYGATTTATTTACTTGGTTTGTTTAGCTAGCTTTCTAAATAAAAGGAATTTCTCTCTCTTATCATTTCTCTCAYTTTATTGAAGCTGTCCTTGCCGCTGTTTATAGAGCTAACTAAAGAAATTGGTCTGTATTTTCTTTTTAAAGTCAATGAATTTGTATAGGAATCCGAGAACAATGTCCAAACATGTGACAGCTAGGGCCAAAAAGTTTCCTTGGAAAGTATTTATCATATTTATAACACCCAAACATTCAATAATTGAATAATAGTAAGGTCTGAATTAAACGCCACTGACCCACCCCCTAACTCTTCAACCAACCTCTTCCCTTCCCCAACCCACTCAGCCCCACCCATACATGGAAAGGATGCTAGTCTGTCACAGAAGCACATTTAAAAAATACAAATAAAGGTCATCCTACCTCTGTGTAGTCAGTGACAAAGAAAGATGTAGTACCATCACTTCTCATAAAATGTCCAGGAAACAGCTTCATCCAGGTGTCATCACCAAAGAACACAATCCTCTTGCCTGCCGATACAGCCTGTGCCAATAGATTGTCTTCATAAAGGGCAGAAGAGACGGCATTGAGAATGACATCCACAAATCCCGGAATACCTCCTGTCATAAGGGCTTTGATTCTCGGCATTGTAACTGTTGGTGGATGTGCCTTTGCAACAAAACTATGCAAAATAATGAATTTTTAAAATAATCAAGATTAATTATAAATGGTGTTTTTGCCAGTAATATAAGTCATATTTTGCAAGTGATTTTTTTTGTGATGTTTGTGGTTTTGGTGAACGTGCGTGTGTGTTTGTCAGCTAGTGGGTGGGTGGAATGGGGGATTGGAGGGTTGTCAAACTTACAATCTAGACCTGACCCCATATACAACAAATCCACTCTTTAATTCTTCAGAATGCAAGTACCCCAATGTGTGGCCCTCCCTTATAATGAATGAATCCATCCTCCCCTCAGAAAAATGACAAAACCTTTTTCCTGGGGAGTAGGGTGGTGGCACTATCTGTCCATTTGTTGGAATGTGCACCTCTCCCTCTTAAGGAATGAACCTTCCCTTCCTCCGAAAGATGACAAAACTTTTCTTAGTGAGGGGGGGGGAGGGGTTCTTGATGACAAAGGGTTCAATTCCGCACTTATGACCCCAGCTGTTTTTCTTTAGTCATCAAGAAACTTACCTAATCGTATTATTATCGAGGATCAGTTTTCTCGTGTATTGCATTCTTGTGCCTTCAAAGACAAAATCTGCCCTTAGAGCATCAATTAAAACAAAAACTAATCTGTCAAACAGAACGGGCAATGGAGGCGCTGGTTCCTTGCTGCCTGGCTCAGGAGGTAAATCCAGTAGAGACGCAGAGCCAGGTATACCTTTCTTGAGAGGAAAGAATCCCTTTAGAAAGAGAGTCAGCCCGAGAAGTTGTAGAATCAAGAAAAAAATTAAAATGACACTTCGTTTTGTATTCATATTTTTTGCTTTTTCTTCAATTCAATTGACTAAAAATTAAAACAAAACAACGCTTAATTACTCAGAATTGCTTTCAACTTATGAAATAAACGATCAGAAGTCTAGACGTGAAGGAATAATAATCTAAATTTGGAGAAAATATTTGTTTAGTTTTTTGCTTGGCCGCCATTTTGAAATGATCAGCGGATGCTCATATTAGACCCCAGGACTTTTCAACCTCGTAAATTCAAGATGGCGGATCAAAGTGAAAACTTTCAACTCACGTTCAACAAAGATTTTGCGAAGAAATTTGAGAAGAATAAGCGTAGAGCAGAGCTTGATCAATGTAAATATTAGTAAATTATTGTTTTATGATTATATTGGCGTTATAAGATGTCGTGAAAAACTATCCTTTTTGATGTTATTGTCTAGTGAAAGCAAAGTATGGAGAGAGAGATTATCAGGAGTCTGATTCGAGTTCTTCAGAGACTGAGGACGAAGACGCAAAGGTTTGCCAATAACTATAGAAGTGCATTAAGAATTATTGCGTTTCAAGTACGAGTTACTGAAATATTATGGCCTTGGAAACCAAATTCTGAATACATTTAAATAAACAAATTAAAAATTGTTTGCACACGTGCTTTTAAAAATGTGACCATAAAATTGTAAATTAGTGTCCAAATTAAATCTTGAAGTTATTTGACATGAAAAACCTGACTTTTTATGAGAAAGACATAGAAAGAGTAACTTTGTTTTTGCTGTCGTTGTTGTTTTAGGAACTTACAGCTCAAAAGGAGAAGGATTTTCTCAAAGTTTTGTCATTATTGAAGAAAAAAGATCCAAAAATATATGACAAGGGTGTCACTTTTTACCATCAAGGTGAGACATCGCATGTTTAGTACTGTCAAGATATTTAGGTCTAAGACCTGCCTACTCTAATAAATACAAGGGTGAATAAAGAGTATTGTAAAATTGAAAGAGGAAGCTATAGTACATACTAGCTTTCTAGGTAACAGGCACCCTCTACCACTATTTAGCATTTTAGTATTATTTAAAAATAGCACTAACAAAATAAAAATACTAGTTATCATGTAATAGTCTTATAGACAAAAAACAGAACAATGCCAGACATAGGGTCTACTAAGGCTGCATTCATAATGTATGGCAGGGGTGGGGGGGGCAGGTGAAATTTAGGGGGGATTGGAAAATTTTTTACCAGTAAAATGGGGGGGTTTGAAAATTTTTAGAAGAAGCTACGAGAGATTGCCCGGGGGGATAGTTATTTTTTGGGGGACTTCAAAGGAGAGGTTTTAAGAATTTTTTTTGTCAATTAAAGATTTCACCTGCATCCCCCCCCCTCACTCTGCCATACATTATGAATGCAGCCTAACGTGTAGCTAGGCCGAATACAAACTTCAACTCCACATGAGCCGAAACTAGTGATATCAAGGAAGACCGCATTGTTATCCATCATTTTCAATGTGTACCGCTCATGTGAAGTTTGACGTTTGACCTGTCTTCACTCTACTTAGTGAAAAATAAATGCTGCACAGATCTATTAGCTTGTATATATTCCAAATGACAATATGATTTTTTTAATAGAAAGTTCATCAGAAGAAGATGAAGGTGAAAAAGAGGAGAAACCAAAGAAACCAGTCTTTCTAAAAGATTATGAAAGAGAAAGACTTCTTGAAAAAGGGAGGTAAGAGATCATATAGTAACAAGGACTGCAGACCACCCTAAAGAGAGTGGGGGAGATAAGACTGGAAAATGTAAGAGACTAGCATGGAAAAAGGGAAAAGTGTGGGGGGGAGGGGAGGGGAGACTATAGCCCCCAAGCCCCCCTGGTCTCTGCAGTGACCCTGAGTAAGTCTGGAGACACTCCTAATTATGTAACATATAACCTTGAATAGGATGTTTGTCTAAAAAAGTATTTTCTCCTTTAAAATCACATAGCAAGGCATTCATTAGTGATGACGAGAGCAATGGAGAGAGTGATGATGCAAGTGAGGAAAAGGTAAGGCATAATTATTTTTCATGAAAACTATAATTATATTTAAACTGTATTCAGTTAAGAACCACTCATATTTTATATGTATTGAGAAGTATGTATATGTATGTATTATGTATGCAAAGGTAGATCTAAGGGCTACTTGATCTACTTGATATTATTATCGGAGGGTAGGGGTAACAGGTTTGTAAGGCCTAGTGCAAACGTCGAACTTTCCATGCACCGAAAAAATGGATATCAGGTGATAATGAGGTGGCATTCTTTGATGTAATTAAGTTCGGTGCATGGAAAGTTCGACGTTTGCCCTAGGCCTAAGCCCTTTTTATTCTAAATACAAAATCTAGACATACAAAACCAAACTTGTGCCAAGTTTGCCATTCCCTCTCCAGCCTGATTCCTTATTCACTATATTTATTTCTATTGATTACAATTACTATTTAGTTCTCACTCCATTATTGATAACTTTCTATGGTATCGATTGTTTTGTTAAGGGTGTCAAGGATCTGACTTACAGTGAAGAACAGAAGGCACTCAAAGACCGGTAACACAATCATGATAATATATAATTTAATTGGGTGGCATGCACTGCTATACATGGCAGGTGCATAGCAAGGTCTCAGTCATAGGGGGCAATGTACCATTTTCCTGTCAATACACACCATACACCTTTTATTTTGTTTAGAATTTCCCACTAGATTCACAGGTTTAGCAAAACGTTTTGGGGAGGGGAAGGGGGCAGTAGTTGCTCTTCAATCCTTAACGCTACACCACTGTGCTATGCCATTGCCTCTCACCCCTGTATGTGCACATAGAATTTGTACATAGGTTCACAAGTTTAGGTTCATAGGGAAGGAAGGGGGCAGTAGTTGCTCTTCACCCCTTAACGCTACACCACTGTGCTATGCCATTGCCTCTCAACCCTGTATGTGTACAATGTACATATGATTTGTGCATAGGTTCACAAGATATTGGCTTTATTATTAGTTTTATAGCAATTGCTTGTAAATAGTTTATCAATTTAGTTTTATTTACCTTTGTATACAATTTGTTAATTCAGTTTTATACTGCTAGAGAACTCAATAAACTATTATTATTATTATTATTATTATTATCATTATTATTATTATAAGTTTGATTCTCAAACAAACACACATATGTCAATCTAAGTTTCTGTTGTTCTCTCCCTTCGTTGCTACGAGGGTTTTACTTTCATTTGGGTTTTCCATTTTCTTTGCTCTGTTAATATTCAAGCTCAGACAAAAATCTTGTTGTTACTTTTATTAGTTTGAAAGCAGCTATTACAGAAAGTGATGAAGAAGATGGAGGTTTTCTAAGTTTGAGGCAAAAATCAAAGGAAGAAAAGGTACAGTTTATTATATATTTTTTTATAAATGGAATTCAGTTTTATGACTGAAAAATAATATGATATTTGGTTTGCAAACAAAATTGAAACAAATGGGGATTAATAGTAATAATGATAATAATAATGATAATGATAATAATAATAATAATGATGATGATAATAATAATAATGATGATGATGATGATAATAATAATACTACTAATAATGATGATGATGATTATAATAATAATAATAATATGTACTTATTGACTGAGTGGGAGGGCCGTACGGGAAAATATTTGGCTTGAGGTTATGTCGTACYGACCGAGCGTAGCGAGGTCCGTACAAATGACCGAGAGCCAAATATTTTCCCGTACGGCCTGACCTAACTCAGTCAATAAGCATTTTATCATATGAGCCTCACGAAAATAAAAATAATTAAGAAAAAGAAAGCGCACGGATTCAAGCAGGGCCTGACGGGTTTTTCCGGCCCGCTTACGTCAACCCGTCCGGCCCCCATCACGTGACTTTTTCCAATGGTTTAATTAGAGCGTGCGAGCAGGGCCGTATGGGTCATATGATAAATCTTTATTTATTCTCACTAAATATGATAGCACACAAGTCCTAGTTTGAGCGAGCTAAAGAATAAATTTTTTTTAAAATAGCCATGATAAAAAAATTATAAAAAAGGGTAGGGACTGTTAAGGACTCACATGTAAGAAGCCTTTCCTCCTGCATTTTTTCATTGTTGTATTTTTTAAGTTACTAATACTTCATTTTACATTTTATTTATCAGCAAAAAGAAGAAAGTGATTATAAGGAGTGGTTAAAAGGGGTCAAGAATGGCTCCTCCAGTCATGATACTGATTTGGTAAGAAACTCATAACATCTTTCTATAGCATGGACATTATATGTTTCCAACTTCAGACTACAAGTCATTCCCTTGACTAGTTACTATTTCTTTGTTTGCTGGTAATGCTTGAAAAGATTCACATATGAGCATTTGAAATGGTAAAATTTTGCTAAAGATACTTTTTTCAATTGTATAAAAGCTGCTAGATTTGCAGTCACAAACTTGCCTTGCTGTAAATATTACTCTACATGACCTTTCCTCCATTATCAGATATGTCATAGATAAATCTGATCAAACTCTTCATTTTTCATCTTGATAACTACTATGGATTCACTACTACACTAGGTTTACTGCTCATAAAACTGATTGTTGGCTTGATAAGATACCCGTTTTCTCACTGGACTCTGTAGATGACTTCTGTTCAGGTTGTCGAAACGTCAGTCGCCACCAACAACAGTCTTTCTCAAGACTACACTCACCCGGACGATCACATTTCACAACAAACTTCCAGTCGCCACCAACAACAGTCTTTCTCAAGACTACACTCACCCGGACGATCACATTTCACAACAAACTTCAACACCTGGGTTCAAAATATTTACTCTTAATAAGATACCAGTAGGTGCAGGTAGAGCAAGCTGGTTGCAGCCCCTTATTATGAGGGATTTTTTCAAGTTATATCATTGTGTAGAACAAATATAGCCCAATGAAAGACTTTGAAAATCATTTTACTCCTTAATATTGATTCATCCCGGTACACATCCATTATTTTTAGGAAACTCTTCAGCAGTTTTGGAGCAATCCATCCCTTGATCAAGATGAACAGTTCCTTAGGAACTACATACTAGGAAAAGGATATATTGATAAAGATGTGTCAAGGTAGGTTTGTTGGACCAGGCAGAGAGGGTCTTAATAGTCTGGTAACGGTTGATAGAATATTGCGTATAAAAAGGGTACTGGGGTCATTTTGACCAGGAATGTTGAGCCAGAAACTAGTGACTGACACACTCATTAGCACAATAGAAGTATAAACCTTGATATCTCCAAGATGGGTCACTCAACTCATATGAAATTATTTGACTATTCACCTATCCCCTTCATGTAGAATCAATTACTGAAAATATCTAGTTAGAGCAGTTTTTAGATGTCATACATCCACATTGCTATTTACTTTATAGAACATACATATAGCCAGACACCAATCAGATAGTATTCATTATTCATTAACAGAGAATTTGATTCATTCACAGGATACCAACTTATAATGAGATTGTGGATGACGAAAAAGAAGTAAGTAAAGGTGTAGAAACTATAATAATTGAGGAAGCTAGGGAAGCGTGGGTGGAATGTGCCACTAATGTGCCACCTCTCACCAGTGTGACCTGGGTTTGAGCTCCCTGGCAGGCCCAGTGTCACATGTGAGTTGAGTTGTTTGGTGTTTTTTTTTTGCACAAAAATCAACTTCTAAATTCTAATTTGATCTATTGCCTGCCTGATTGATTGGGTTGTCAAAACCTGTTAGGCATTAAGCCGTCCATCCAGGAGTGGTAAACACATCAGATTTAGAGCTATGCCAATAGATAAAGTAACTATAATAGGTTCTACAGACATTTAGAAAATGGTCAGAACCTTCCACTAAAATAATGCCTGGTTCTTTCTCTAAAGGCGCTGTTACACATTGAAACTTTTCGCTGAAACTTGTGTGCAGTGGTGTTGTGAAACAAGTTTCTTGGGGGTATTACATGGCACACTTTCATCCTAAAACTTGTTTACTATACAAGTTTCAGTTGCACGAGTAGAAAGCAATTATACTTTTCATAAAACTTTCTCAGGACGAAAGTTTGGCAAAGCATAATTGTGTAACACCCCAGTGAAAAGCTGTTGCACACAAGTTTCAGCTAAAAGTTTCAATGTGTTACAGGGCTTTCACTTTCTGTTTTTTCTCCCTCTCTTACAAACAGTACGCAATGTACCTTATTCAAACTGGTAAAAGCTTCCTCTCCCTTGCTCTGTAGCTATACATGGACAATGTAGTGACTTCAAAAGCTTTTAGTATGACTTCATTAAGTGTCATGCCTGTTATATTCATGGTCACCATGGTGATTTGTGAAAACAGTTCTTAGTGAGTACACTGTACTTCTACCAAATAATACTGTAACAGTTATTGATTTTTATCATTACAGGATGAAGAGGAATTAGAGAAGCAAGAAGAATTTGAAAGAAAATTTAATTTCAGATTTGAAGAACCTGATGCAGAATTTGTAAGTTGTGATGCAATATTCAATTACTGTCTGTCTTTCTGTCTGTCTGTCCAGCAGAAGGATTTTAAAAAGGGGTTCTAAAATGATTGCCACGCAGAAAAAGCTGGCATATGATTGGTTCACAAGAAGTTACGAAGGGGGATTCCATGGAAACCACAGTACCACCCCTGGATTCACCACATACATCTTTCTATCTGTTCCTCATCTATTTTTTCTGCCATCTATCTGTCCACTAACCCATCTTTCCTCTCATCCTTTTCTCCATCTATTTATCAGTTGGTCAACTTTATCACCCACTTCATGTGATGCTCCATTCATTCGCACACTTTTTAAGCTCCAATATACATACGTTTTTGCTAAATGGGGTTATTTTTTGAATACATCAGGTAAAAACATATCCAAGGACAGTAAATGCATCTGTAAGACAAAAGGACGACAAGAGAATAGAAGCGAGAAAGAAACGAGAAGAACGAAAGAAAAAGGTTAGTACAGTGTAGCTCTCAACTGTGGATAATAATTGTGAGGAGTGATTTAAAATGGAACCAAACAATTCTTAGTCATAAGAGGTAGAAAGTTGTTTTATTTTTTTAACAAAAATTTCTAGTCAAATGCAAGAAAGTTTCACATGATGTAGTTTGTTGTCATTTGCTCTTACTGAATTAATTTGTTTTTCAACAATATTTTTTTCAAATTAAATGTTTAGGAAAAAGAACAAAAGAGAGAGGAGCTTAAGAGACTAAAGAATCTCAAAAGAAAAGAGATACAGGAAAAGCTTGAAAAACTCAAAGGTATATTTATTTAATCCAAATCTTTAATAAATACAATGACTGCTGGTTTACATTGAAAACGGCGATTCAGCTGATGAACATTTTCGCATGAGACCAAAAATGACATCAAATGAAATCATGAAGTAATACTAGTGATAACCATGATCTTTTGGGCTTTTTTTAATTCCTCGGACTAAAAAATTTTTTTAAGGAAAGACAGTGAGTAAATTGTGTTCCCATCCATGTCTAATACCCATGACCTGAGTCAACTCGTCATGTTCATAGTCAAGTTGATCAACTTGTCAAAGACTTGGTCAACTTTTGTTCCTACTGTTAAGCTTTACTCTTTCCCCTGGTGAAAGAGAACAGAAGTGTTACAACCTAGCGCTTGTGTCACTCTATACCCTCATGTAAACAGTCTATAAAGTAATTACAGTTTTAAAAAGAAAACCTCTGGTTCCAGAGTTCTATTCTCCTTACATAATGATTATTGTTACAGAAATCACAGGGAACCCAAATGTAGGATTTACTGAGGATGACGTGGACGATGACTTTGACCCCAAGAAATATGACTCTATAATGGAAGTAAGGCATTCAAAATATTGTTATTTTATCTTGATCTTATTAATGGAGTGAATGTGGGATAGTAAATTACACCCTTTAAAAATGTCATGTGGCACTTTTGTATGAATACTCCATTTTACAGTTCCGTTCAGTGACCACGCATAATAGACTTAGTCGATGTTGGAGTTTCTGCGCATGATAAACTATAGTTTTGCTAGGCATGGAAACTCCAGCCTCTATTCGATACTATTATTTGTGGTCAATGAATGGAACTATAAAATGGAGTATTGGGAAATGAAAGGTGCAGAGTTGTAGTCCACTTGCCTCTCACTCCTGGGGTCTTGCAGAGACAGTCTTGGGTTTATTCCTGGACTCAGCATGAAATGTGGGTAGAGATGGTTGAGTCTCTCTCTTCATTAGAGATTTTCATTGGGGATTTTCTCTGGGGTCTTTGGTTTTGTTCCCTTCGTAAAACCTAACTAAATTAAGCTAAAGCTTAATTCCAATTCAACATTCGATTTGTGAGTTAACCATGCCCTGACTTTGATCAGCCCAGAGGTCGTTTCAGGGTGTAATCTGTGAGTTAGCCTACCCTGACTTTGATCATCCCAGAGGTTGTTTCAGGGTTCAATCTGTGAGTTGGCCATGCCCTGACTTAGATCAGCCCAGAGGTTGTTTCAGGGTTCAATCTGTGAGTTAGCCATGCCCTGACTTAGACCAGCCCAGAGGTTGTTTCAGGGTTCAATCTGTGAGTTAGCCATGCCCTGAATTATTAGCCATAATATGAATGCCTAAAATTTGTCTTTAAACACTTTCACTTCGTTTTTGTCCATCAGAAAGTATTCAATGAAGGTTATTATGAGGATGAAGAAGGAGAAAAACCAACATTTGACGATGGACTGGACTTGGAAGAAGGTCAGATTAACATCACTCAAATAGATTTCACCTTGGGTGTAATGCTTTCCCATTTCAGACCATGTGTCATTTTCTTGAGAATAAGATTCTTTATTCGAGTTGTATCCGTTATTCATGTGTCTCTTTATACACAACCATTAAACAATGATACTCTAGGGAATGACACATGGTCTGAAATAGGAAAAGATTGAAGTGGTATATTGAGACTGTACTTCAAAAATTAATTGCATCTGGTTTTCATATATTTTGTTTCATCTTCTTTTTCTTATTTTTGTTTCTTTATTCATAGAGGAAAATTGGGATGAGTGGGTGGGGCCGTCACAAGATGGTAACTATGACAATGAGGAATACAATGACTACAACGAAAACCATAATGGTATAAACAAACATTTATTATTTTTATTTTAGCATATTAATCTATTGACTTCCTCAGCATAGAGCAGCTTTCGTAAATTACTGACTAACAACATGTTGTGACATTGAAATGGCTTCCTACTTTCATCTGTTTTTTCCAATCAAAATGCATAAAAATGCAAACATTAGGTCACTCATACAAATTCTTTTCTACGAGTCGTACTAGTATTGTTGGTCATCTTTATCATTGTCATCAGCACTGTATCATCATCACCACCAACATCATCATCATCACCAACATCATCATCATCATCATCATCACCACCAACATCATGATCACCACCAACATCATGATCACCACCATCATCATCATCACCAACATCATCATCTTCATCACCATCATCATCACCAACATCATCATCTTCATCACCATCATCATCACCAACATCATCATCACCACCAACATCATCATCTTCATCACCATCATCATCACCAACATCATCATCTTCATCATCATCATCACCAACATTATCATCTTCATCATCACCAACATCATCATTTTCATCATCATCATCACCAACATCATCATCATCATCACCACCATCATCATCATCATCATCATCACCAACATCATCATCTTCATCATAATCATCACCAACATCATCATCTTCATCATCATCATCATCACCAACATCATCATCTTCATCATCAACATCTTCATCATCATAATCACCAACCTCATCATCTTCATCATCATCATCATCACCAACCTCATCATTACCAACATCATCATCTTCATCATCATCTTCATCATCATCATCATCATCACCAACCTCTTCATCTTCATCATCATCGTCATCACCAACATTATCATCACCACCAACATCATCATCACCAACCTCATCATCATCACCAACCTCATCATCACCAACATCATCATCACCAACATCATCTTCATCATCATCTTCATCATCATCTTCATCATCATCATCACCAACCTCATCATCACCAACATCATCATCACCAACATCATCTTCATCATCATCTTCATCATCATCTGCATCATCATCAACATCACCAACATTAGTCTATCCCTATCATCATCATCATCATCATCCCACATAACCAACATTGTCAGTGTTATTCCTCATCTTCATCATCCATTACTTTTCACAATTAATCATATTAATTTAGTAAATGGAAAGTGGGACAATATAAGTACTAAACATTACGCCAAAATTGTCAAAACCATAAATCTCATCATCATCATTCGTCATAATCTTCTTATTACAACAACAACATCACCACCACTACCACCACTACCACCACCACTATGGAAAACTTTATCTGTTAATGTTTTTCTCTTTTTTTGTCAGATGATTATTATGATGATTGCAATTTTAACGTAAGTACCACAGCTTTTTAGAATATTTTTGTATTTATTATATGGTCATCGTTTCAATAACTTACCGTTTCTCAACCGGTATGAGTAGTATAGGAGAGGCAGTACGACCCCAGTCTTTGAGGAAGATTGAGTAATTTTTGCGGTGGGCTCTCATTAGCACTAAATTATTCCATATAATAATGTCTATACAAAACGCACAGAAAATACATGATGAATATAAATCTTCATCGCTTATTTTATACGGTAAATCTAACCTAGCCAAGAAAATACTGAGCGTGGTAACCCTGTGTCCTAATTTATACTTTCATAGCGTGACTTCATTTCAAGGAATTTTTAAAAGGGTCACGCTCATTTCCAAGAATCGGTCTCAAACAACATTCACAAACAACATTCCTCAGCCAACTCCCTCAACTCTCGCCAACATGGAATCGTTTGTGGACGATCTTAAGAACCAAGTCCAATGTTCTTTGTGTAATGATACATTTACAGAACCCAAGATCTTGTCTTGTTTCCATACATTTTGTAAACCTTGTATCAAAAGACACGCCGACCTGATAGACGAAGTCAACGTCTTCAAGTGTCCTCGATGCAAATTACCAACTTCTTTACCAGAACCAAGCAGCGTCGAAGATCTACAGCCTAGTCTGCTTCATACAAGAATCTTGAAGGGTCTGGCGTTGGTAGAAGGAGAAAAGATTTGTTCTGTTTCTGAGAGCCATTCTCCAGCATCTTGGTATTGTTTTGACTGTGATCGCTTGATGTGTCAAGAATGCGAGAAGAACCACTCAGAGTTTATCAAAGATCACAAGGTCATTCGTCTGACTGATTTGAAGAAAGGAGATATTGAGTTCGTAATAATAAGAGAAAATCCTTGTACAAGTCACCCTCATCACAGGCTAGAGTTGTTCTGTGAAGATTGTGATGCCATGATTTGCGTGACATGCTTGAAACACGATCACAGGAAACATGAGACAATGTCATTAGATAAGTTTGCTTCGATCAAGAAAGCTGTATTGTCAAAGAATCTGCAGGTACTAGAGCAGTTGAGATTAGATGACAAGGAAAAGCAAGCACAAGAAAAGATTGCTAACACWATCAAACAACAAGGAGAAAAAGCCAAAAAAGAAGTCAAAGACAAAACCAAAGAAAAAACCAAGAAGATCATCCAAATTCTAAAAGAAAACGAAAGAGAATTGCTGAGACAAATAGATGAGAAATTGGAAACAGCTACGACAAACTTGAATATAATTCATCATATTCCAGCCGTCAAGGAGTACATCAAGAATGTGATGGAAAGAGGACTGGCAAGTGAAATGTTGAACATTCAAGAGACACAGTACTCAGAGAAATTTATCTTCAACCGCATTCCACTTTTCTCTCGAGTTGAGTTCGTTCCTAACGAGCAGCTGGTGCAAGAAGTGAATTCAGGGCTGGGAGAAATACGTACTTGTTACAAAACAGACCATACGAACAGCACTATTCAGGTGAAATCTGAGACAGAAGCTTTAAGGAAAGAAAAGCTAATATGCACAATTAAAACCTCGACAGGGGAACTCATTCCTGATCCAATGGATGTTATAGACGTTCAAATCAAGCCTGAAGAAAATGTGAAAATAGAAAAGAAATATGTGAGAACTGATGTTAAAGTAGAAGTTGAATTCATGGCTAGAGTACCTGGTCAGTTGACAGCAGAGGTTCAAGTGAATGGGAATCCTGTATCTAACAGTCCACTAGTGGTGAATGTCAAGCCACAAGAGATGAGAACAACAGGACAGTTTAACACGAAAGGTAAAAATATAGGCTCTAGTTATTTGAGAGGTATAGCAGTAAACAGAGACAACAGCAGGATCGCTGTTGCCAATTGTTCTTCTGACTGTGTCCATGTATTCACCACTGATGGAGATCTCTTACTGACGTATGGTAGTCAAGGTAGTGCACAGGGACAGTTGTCTAATCCTATGGGTTTAGCATTTCTGAATGATACAGATTTAGTCATATCAGACAATGGTAATCATAGAATATGTATAGTGAACACTACAACCGGGACATTGGTAAAAACCTTTGGTAACCATAGTAACAGGGATGGACAGTTAAATAATCCATGGGGAGTACACGTTGATGACGATGGTAACATCATTGTGTGTGATCGTAGTAATCATCGTGTTCAAGTCTTCACAAGAGACGGTGACTATCAATATCAGTTTGGTTTGACAACACAGGACAAGCTTGATCCATTTGATGTGATAACACATGATGGACTGTTTTACGTCAGTGATTATAGTAATCACGTTATTCATGTATTTGAGAAGAAAGGTAACGYACCGACTAGAAGATCGACGATTGGTGGTCAAGGCCGGGCTGATGGTCAGCTGAATAGACCATTTGGCCTAGCTATTGATAATGACCATCATCTACTGGTGTGTGAATATTGTAATAACCGCGTACAAAAATTCACATTGGACGGTCGTTTTGTAGGAAAGACTTGTGATGTAATCAAGAACCCTCAATTTATAACTGTTTTAAAGGATGGTCAGTTACTAGTCAGTACGTGGTATTCTGGTGTCTGGTGTGTAAAGTAGAAATGGTTATTATTAATGTCTATATAGACATTAATAATAACTATTACAAARGTTTTAACAGAAATTCGAGGAAAAGGGGGGTAACTGTTACTAATGACATACTGAGAAATTTGATAAAAGGGGCTGCCTTGTAACCCCTTTAACCACACCTGGATTCGGCCCTGATTTATTGCTTTAGAATAAGAAAGCAAGTTGTAATCTGACGAGCGACAATGAAAAAGAAGTGTAAGATTGTTTTGATTTTGAATGATGAATAAATGTTTTACACTCAAACGTTTTCCTTTGTAATTGGATGCAACTAAGAGTTTTTGTCTTTTGTTGTTGTTGTTGTTGATGTTGTTGTTGTTTATGATCTTGACTGGCTGTATTGCTCGTAAGGGACCATTTTCTTACCGGGGAGGGAAGGGAGGGGAGGTAGTGGTATTTGAGAGTTTGGGAATCATTAAAAAACAGTTTCATCACGTTGTTAGCCTCAAGAAGAGAATATGAAGGAGCGTGTTTCGTTCAAAATAATTATGTCGATTTGGCTCTACACGGGCATAGTTTAAAGGCTAAACTTTATTTGCACAAACCAGTCCAATACCACGAAAAAACAGGCTAGGGAAAGGGCCCGGTGAAACCTAAAATTTCCAAAGCTAAAATTACAATGTATAAAGGGAAATAAAAAAGGAAAACAGTACAAAAATCTCACCGAATTGACACCACGGTATACAAGTACGGCACACTACTTCAAGCACATGTAAAACATATACCGCGCAAAGGATTGCGGGACATTTATGCAGAAAACGTAGAATAAAAACATAGGAACGCGGGAACTCCGGAATACCCTTGTTAACGATTAGCCTCAATAGGATATGTGACGTCATCAAACAAAAAGACAGGCCATCCTATAATAATCAGAAGAACTACTAAAATCGGCCGCAAAAATTCTTGGAGTGCGTGTTACGTCATAGCCGCCATCTTGGTTGACGATCACTAAGCATTCCTCATTAAATTCTCTTGTTAGATCAATCAACATCGCGGCTGTTTTGTTGTTATTTATATCTCGAGGGGTGTTGAGTTATGTGTTACACTTCAAGAATAATCAAATCCTCCTGAATCTGCCTCAAAAATAACCTAATCTTCCTGAAGAATGAAAAATCCACCAGTCTAAAGTCTTGCCCGTACTGCCTGAGTACCTCTACTGGTATGACTAACTCTTCACTTGTTTCGCAGATGGATGCTGATTACGACCCCAGCATGGAAACACAGCAACCAAAAAGGAACCGAAAAAATCCATCCTCCAAATTAACTCGGGCTTTGAATCAAAAGAAACCGCTCTTCGACCCAAGTAAGGAAACAAATATCTTGTTTTCTTTAAATGTTGTATTACATTGTGGTACGATCACAATAGAGCCACAGTGGAAAGACTAAATAGACCCTTTTAGATTGGGCGTAACGTTCCCTCTTCTATACCACATGTCATTCGCTTAAGTATCATTTCTTTGTTTAACGGTTGCGCATCACAATACACACGAATTACGGTTACAACTCAAGCAAGGAATCTTATTCTCAAAATCTCCCTCKAAGAATTCTCGATGTACCAATTTAAAGTTCCATTTCTTTGCAGACGAGAAGACATTCGAGGAGTATTTTGACGAGTATTATAAACTAGATTACGAAGATATCATCAGTGATCTACCCTGTCGGTTTAAGTACAGAAATGTCTTACCCAACGATTATGGGCTATCTACAGAAGAGGTATGTACGTACTGATGGTTGTGTGGATATACAGTTCGTCTAGGCCAAACTTAGACAACTGGACGAGGGGGTATGGATTCTTATGAGATATTATTGATAACCTAAGAGTTCACTGTCGCTACGCCATCCATGATTCACTTCACTCATACGAATTACTGATTGAGTATTTATGATCAGTAATCCACTTGCCTGTCTTGCAAATATGGTCATGAACATGATTGAGACTGTAATGTCTTTGTCTTCAGGTGTTGTCTCGTCCTGAGAGGGAGTTAAACCAGTGGGTGTCTGTCAAGAAGATGTCACAGTACAGGTACATATCATATGTCATTAGTTAACCAGGTGGGTGGGTGGATACATTAATCAGTTAGTGATGTGGGTGAATGACAGGAGGTTGATAACTAGGTGTATGGTAGGGTAGTGGGTGGGTTAGCTGTGGGTGAAGGGTATGGATAGTTGAATGGAATTGTCATGGGTGGGTAAGTAGTCGAAGAGATGATGGGAAGGTTTGGTGGAATGCAGGACAGTGGGTGGGTTAGCCGTGGGTGAAGGGACTGAATAGTTGGATGGAAGGATGTATGAATAATCTGTGAGTGAATAGCAGTGTCGTCAGGGTGGGTAAGTAGTTGAAACGATGGAACGGTTGGGTGAAGAAAGTATGAATATAATAATCTGTGTAACATTATGTCTTGTGGTAGAAGTGGCATAACACGAGAAATATGATGTATAGAATAACAAAATAAACATAGAAATAAACATATGAATAAACCCATCAAATTCACGTATTTTACTTTTGCCACTAAGAACCGATGAAGAAGAACGTCGTGACATTAAAAAGTTTCTTAAGTTTTCCCGAGATGAACGACGAAAACAAAGGATATTTTCTTCCACCGCGACTGCATCAGAGATCTCAACACCAGAAACGTGAGTAGAAAGTTGGTCTTAAATCTTTAGAACAAAAAGTGGTTTTATCGCATGGATAGAACTTTGGGTCTGTTTAACAATTCTAAGAGTCTTGAGAATAAGTTTGGGACCTCTTCTCTTTCCTTTGCCCTGTCTCCTCTCTTTAATTCATTTCCCCGGCCCAACGACAAAACTTTTAATGAGAGTAAAGCTATCAGGAAATTTTAATTGCCTTGGGAAGTATAGTTGAAAGTTGAAGGAAATAATATTAATTAGAACATTTTTTTCATAGAAAACAAAGTACGATACARAAAGACCCAACAGAACAGAAAACTAACTTCACAATAACAAAACAAGAAAGAAAGATACCGATAGAAAAACAAATAACGAATGATACAAAACCACAACAAAAACAAGAGACTAAAACAGAAAGAAAAGAAAAAGGAAAAATGTCACAACTGAAAAGAATGGGATGGAAGAGACGGCTAACGCCAAAAGAAGCTAAAGATCAAGCGCAAAAGAAGAAACTTGCTCGTCAATTCAAAGGAGCGAAACGAGAACAGTTGGCTGGTCTTACTGTGGATCGACTGGCCGCGTATGGACTGAGGAAGAAGAGGAAAGTTGCAGACTAATATTAACCACAATTTGATTATTAATGAATAATTCTATGTTCGCCATTTTCATATTCCATAATACTTTACATTGTGGGAGTTAACCGATCAAAAACTGGCATAAGATTAAAGATTCATTCATCGAATGTACGCTATACCGGCTTTTGTTTTTAAAATACTGATTTTGGTCCTGCGTTAGGAGACTAAGTTTCACCTAGAGTCCTTTCTATCTTCCATAATACTTTACATCGTGCATTGGTGGGTAATTGATCAAAATCTGGCTTAAGATTAAAGGTTCATTAGTGCGAATGTACGCTATACCTGCGTGTCAACCCCAAACTGGATGCAAGGGGGACCATGTTTTCACTTGACAATCCTTTCCATTAATGAAATGCGATTGAATAGACCTCTCTACCTTGAGCCTAATGTTTTCCTATTTCAGACCACGCGTCATTCCTAGGGTATTGCGGTTTCTTTGTTTAACGATTGTTCGTGAGAAGACACAAACAAAGAATCTTATTCTCAAGAGGATGACACGTGGTCTCGAATGGGAAACGCCCAAGGTACAGAAGTCTATTCACGCAACATAAAGAAAGTACAACTGATCTAAATAATAAGAGATACAAGGGAGTGAGGAAGAAAGGAAGGTCAGGACGATTTGGGAAATCCGACGCAAATACTGGAATTGAAAGAAAAACCAAGAACTGAGCTACTTTCCAGAAATCAAGTCCTCCATTCACTAGCAAAAGTTTGCGTCTCTTAAAAACCTCTTTAAGACTTTTGGTGACCGATATATGGTCGTTGTTTCATTCCTGATCGATATGTTATCTTGAGAAGAATGGAGTAATTTTTGTGCAGGATTAAGGAGTTTTCCGGTTAGATTCTTACACAGCCCCTCGGCGGAGCGAGAGACTAAAGAAGAGTCTGTTTTTGCGGTGGGCTCATTATCATAAAATGATCCTCTATAAAGATGTCTTTAAAACGCACAGAAAAGAAATAATAAATATGTAGACCATATTTTGACAAGGAAATCTTTCTCGCTTATTTTATACGGTAAATTTGAACTAATACGCCTGAAGCGAGATGACGTTTTACCCCCGTCTCTAGACCAAGAAAATACTGAGCGTGGTAGCCCTGTGTCCTAATTTATGCGTTCATAGCGTCACTTCATTTCAAGGAATTTTTAAAAGGGTCACGCTCATTTCCAAGAATCGGTCTCATAGATTCACAAACAACATTCTTCAGCCAACTCCCTCAGCTCTCGCCAACATGGAATCGTTTGTGGACGATCTTAAGAAGGAAGTCAAATGTTCTTTGTGTAATGATACATTTACAGAACCCAAGATCTTGTCTTGTTTCCATACCTTTTGTAAACCTTGTGTGAAAAGACACGCCGACCTGATAGACGARGTCAACGTCTTCAAGTGTCCTCGATGCAAATTAACAACTTCTTTACCAGAACCAAGCAGCGTCGAAGATCTACAGCCTAGTCTACTTCATACAAGGAGCTTGAAGGGTCTGGCGTTGGTAGAAGGAGAAAAGATTTGTTCTGTTTCTGAGAGCCATTCTACAGCATCTTGGTATTGTTTTGACTGTGATCACTCGCTGTGTCAAGAATGCGAGAAGAACCATTCGTTCTTCTTGAAAGAACACAAGGTCGTTCGTCTGGCTGATTTGAAGAAAGAAGATATTGAGTTCATAATAACAAGAGAAAATCCTTGTAAAAGTCACCCTCATCACAGGCTAGAGTTGTTCTGCGAAGATTGTGATGACATGATTTGCAGGATTTGCTTGATACACGATCACGAGGATCATAAGACAATGTCATTAGATAAGTTTACTTCGATCAAGAAAGCTGTATTGACAAAGCATCTGCAGGTAATAGAGCAGTTGAGATTAGATGACAAGGAAAAGCAAGCACAAGAAAAGATTGCTAACACAATCAAACAACAAGGAGAAAAAGCAAAAAAAGAAGTCAAAGACAAAACCAAGTAGTATAGGGAATGGGGGTTCCAGCGCAATCTCAACGCGGGGCAAGACCCGTGTCAAAAATCCACCTACGGAAACAACCCACTCCAAGTGTGGTTGAGGGCAACAGCGCACTTAAATATGTTAGTCTATATATGGAGTG